CTTCAAAACCTCTTACAACTGAAAAGCTGCAGAAGAAGGAAGATCAGCAATTGGAACTTAAAAAAAGTACTAGCCTTAAGAAAACCACAGAGCCCACTGTGGATCTTTTAGGACCTGATGGCCCTGCTGAAGCACCAGTAACCAATGGGAACACAACCACGATGCCAGCCCTGAGTGATGACCCGGACATCTTTGGACCAATGATCTCGAATCCCTTGCCTCCAGGTCAGGGGACGTCCACTGGACCAGTAGCTGCCCCCGTGTCTACAGTAACATCTGGTGATCTGGATCTATTCACTGAACAAACCACAAAATCCGAAGAATCCACAAAGAAACAGCTCTCCAAAGATTCCATCTTATCTCTGTATGGTACCGGGACCATTCAGCAGCAGACTACGCCTGGTGTGTTTATGGGGCCCACAAATATACCATTTACCTCACAAGCACCAACTGTATTTCAAGGTTTTCCAGCAATGGGAGTTCCTGTGTCTGCAGCTCCTGGCCTTATGGGAAATGTAATGGGACAGAGCACAAATATGATGGTGGGCGTGCCCATACCTAATGGGTTTATGGGGAATGCACAAACTGGTGTGATGCCACTTCCTCAAAATGTTGGCGGAATGGCTGCGTCCCAGAGTAAGTTCGGTGTGCCGCAAGCTCAGCAGCCCCAGTGGAGTCTCTCACAGACGAACCAGCAAATGGCTGGCCTGGGTATCACCGGTGCAAACCCCACAGTGGGCTTTGGCCAGCCCCCCAGCACGACGGCAGGATGGCCTGGCAGCTCATCGGGTCACACTCTCAGCACACAGCTTTGGAAATGAAAATGCAATACAAGTCTCATCCAGAACTACCACCTGACATTCCTGCTAAAACACAGCTAGTTCCTGTTTCTTCATGTACATATTTTCTTTTCCCCCCATTCATTCATATTAAGAATGATCTGATTGACCGTGTGCTGGTCTGTACTGATTAAATTTGATGTGGTGAAAAGCAGGTTGAAAAACAAAAACAAACAAACAAAGATTTCAACTAAGAAAACCCCAATGGAACAATTCTATTCTGTAACATTTGGGGTGATCATGAGTTAGAGTAGAGATAACTGTAATGGGCTTACTTTCAGATGGTAAGCTGTAAAAAAAAGGAAAATGCAAATTATTTTTATACACATGCAAATAAGTTTTACCAGAGATGTAATTTATTCTTAGCTGTGTGATATTGGTCACCTTTATATCTATTAGGAATTACTTTCTGTGTTCTTGATTGCATGTATATCTATGTGTCCGAATTATCCTTTGAAAATGGGTTATAGCTTCCTACTATTGCTTTCATTAGTGAGTTTAATACGTTCTTCACTTATATGTACATGAGTCATAATCTTGTCCATTTAAAAACTCATTAACACAGATAATTAACTAGATAAAGAAGGCACAAGGTTTGCCTTTGCCACAGCCATAGGAAGCTCAATCTTGGCCCTGAAAAGACCAAGGCCTATTTCCTAGACTGGCACTATATTTTGATGTGACATATATAGAAAGGTTTCATAAGCCCACTTGTATCTTCTGACATGCCTCATCTTTCTTCCCAGGGAGCAGCTGGTGGGTTTGAACTGCTGACCTTGCATTTAGCAATCCAATACTTACATGAAAGGACAGTAACGTGCTCACGAAATTGAACCAGAATTTTCCTGTATAAGTGCTTTGTAGTTAGTGGCCCTCAAGTCAACTTCCAGGCTTTCTTTGGCTGATTTGGACGTAGCTCACAAGGCCTATTTTACCTTATTCTGGACCCTCCAACGAAACCTGTTCAACATCATAGTGACTAGTCAAGTGTTATGGCGTCAACTTGAACTCATAGTGATCCAATGCGACAGAGCAGTACTGTCCCAGAGTTTCCTCAGCTACAAATTTTACAGAAGCAGACTGCCAGATCTTTCTCCTGGGAGGCACTGAAAAAAACTCACTGCCATCAATTCTGACTCATAGTGACCCTACAGGACAGGGTAAAACTTACCCTGTAGGTGTCTGAGACTGCAACTGTTTACATTGAGTAAAACGAAAGCCACCTTTTTCTCCCATGGAGCAGCTGGTGGTTTTGAACTGCCACCCAGTGCATAACCCATTATATCTCCAGGGATCCCTGTCCGGGAAGCCACTAGGTGGGTTTAAACCACTAACCTTTCAGATAGCAATCAAACACTTACAGGTTTTCTCTACCACAGGCCTTTGTTTGGGCAGCATCATTTACAACAAAACAAAACTAATCCTGTTATGATCAACTTGACTTTGACTCATAAAGACCCTTTAGAACAGAGTAGAACCTCAGAAACCCATAGGGTTTCCAAGACTGAAATCTTTACAAAAGTAAATTTGCCGTCTTTCTCCCATAGTGCAGCTGGTGGATTCAAACCACTGACCTTTTGGTTAGCAGCATAGTACCTATTCATTGTTCAGCATCATAATCACATGTAAGCCACCATTGTCTCTTGGTACATACATGGGTTTGGAAATGCACACACATCTGCATGGAAGGTAATTCTACCACTGAACCACCAATGCCCTCTAGTGTGCTGAACAGTATTTATTCAGCTGGTGGTAACGGAGTACTGTTTTTATTTTGTTGTTGTCTTGTTCTTCAAAACATCAGAAATATTATTGAACATTTATGTTTGGCATCAGAAAAGGGCATAAGAAGGTTTTCCATTGGTATAGTTTTGTAATGTGGGTATTATTTTTTGAATGACAACTAGTAGATGGAAATATGAACCAACCCTGTATTTGGGATAGAATTTAAACTTGATATTTCATCTTTGTGACTTCTATTAAATATGACCATTGAAGAAAATAAAATGGAAAGCACAGACATAAATACCACTAGTTAAAATGTAAACCCTTACTTATAATGTAAAAGACTGAACTTTTGCTTGAATAACCCCAAAACAAGGAATCCATGTCTGGGGATCAACTAATCACTCATGTCTTACTCTTACTGTTGCTCCAACAAGTGGCTTATTATAGGAAAGGAAGAGAGTGGAGTTGTTTTGTGAAAGAAAGGGAGCAGTGGAAAGGAGAAGGCACAGTGGCACTATGGGCTAGACTATGAGGGCCGAGGAGTGGAAAGGGGTCTCAGGTATAGGGCAGATTCTTTTATTTTTTATTATTAAATACTTTTATTGGGGGCTCTGACATCTCTTATCATAATCCATACACATATCCATTGTGTCAAGCACATTTGTACATATGTTGCCATCATTTTCAAAGCATTTTCTTTTTACTTGAGCCCTTGGTGTCAGCTTATTTTTCCCCTTCTCAGCCTCCCTCATGAACCCTTGATAAGTTATAGATTAGTATTTTCATATCTTACATTGTCCTCTGTCACCCTTCACCCACTTTTCTGTTGTTCGTCCCCCTGGGAGGAGGTTATATGTTGATCCTTGTGATCAATTCCCTTTCGCCCCCCCACCTTCCCCTTATCCTCCTGGTATCTCTATTCTCATTGTTGGCCCTGAGGATAGGGCAGATGCTAAGGCAGCAAGCACTGAGGGGTCCAAAATTCTCTAGGGAGATGATTCCCAGAGTGCAGTCCCACACCAACATTAGCACCATGTGAAGGCTTGTCAGAAATGCAGGCTCCTCTGCTTCACCCCCACCCTGCAAACCTGCTGAATTAAAATCTGCATTTTATCAAGCTACCCAATTTTATGTTTATGCATTAAACCTCAAGAAGCAATGACAATTTTATTATTTTGTACTCTATTAGTCTCGCTTTAGGTGGTGCAATGGCTAAAGCACTGGACTAACCCCAAGGTCAGCCAACCAAACTGTCCTGCTGTTCTATGGGAGAGATGTGACCTTTCTGTGAAGATCTTTTTCTGTGAAGCTCTCAGCCTTGTTCAAAGGACTTTTAAGGTCAGTGGCCAAACCGTAGTCCACAAAGACATTGTTCTACAATCTACTTCAGTGAGTAGCTACTGGGTCTTAAATGCTTGTTAGTGACTGCAGTTATTGGTCTCTCCACACCTAGAGGAAAGAAGAACG